AGGAGATCATCAACACTACATCGGTGGTCATCACAAGAAGAGGGTTACATGAACCTCCTCATTGTTCACTTAAGCTCTCATGCTGGATCAACACCAAAAAGGTACTGTCTATGGTTCTATACAATTACCCTACACCAAAAAGATACAGTATTGAGCTGGCAGTAGGGTAGGCATAGGGCTGTTAAACAGGTTAGTAATTTTATCTGTATCATCATTAGTGGATAGGTTTGTTTACTAGAGTCGAAACCTAACTATGAAAAGAGATTGACCCCAAAAGAGGTGGATGGCCTGCGGATGGTACTACAGCTCTTGTGCTGGATTAAAGATCAACGCAAAAACACCACCAGTTTATTTAAAATTGTGTACAACCTTGTGTACAATATCAATCATACTTTTAAATCCAGAAATATAATTATAATTTCAACAACAAGCAGTAACAGGTGTACTGTAATATTCAACACAGTGTCAATTTGATCCAAAATATTCAACAACTATATGTTCGTTATTAAACTTAACAATAGTTAACAACGGTTAAAGTTCAAGAATCTTACTGACGATTGTTTTATTCTCGTTCATTAGCTTGTTGACATCAGATAGACTTGTAGTTGTAATTACTGCATCCAATAGAGCTCGTTCTTCCAAACTTAAAACGGTGGCGATGTCTTGCCTAGAGTTATTGAGTCGCTGCTTCAATGTCTCAAACACTTCATTTTTCATTATGTAAGAGGATAAAAAGTCAAAACGTTTGTCTTCCTCCTTACATAACTTTCTTTGTGACAGAACGTCTAAAGTTTTGATAAATTTCGACATCTTCACCTTTTTGTTTATTTGTTTGATTGGTACTTCTTTCCGCTTACATTTTTGTTGCCACAGGGAGTCAGAGTCTAGCTTATCTCTACTTGTCATATGATCAGATTCTGTTTTTGACTCATCATCAACACTTGCTACTTCAGAGTTAGAACTGTCTTGATAATCTTCTTCAGATATTGTTGTATCAGCGTCTGAATATTCAGGATTATCCCTTATTTCATCAGTCACATAAGCTTTTGACGGTGGGTGGTTGATAGAACTTGTGTGTGATTCTCCCTTCTTCCGATGATACCGACTTTTGTGTGAGGACAGACTTTGCTTGTTTGCGAATTGTTTATCGCAGAGAGGACGAAACACCGACATCTCTGATTGAAATGAATTTCCAACCTTGTTCTCTTTATATACTTGGGGACTGCTCAGCAATTTACTCAAACATCGCTCAATTTTGCTTGAATGTTGTTTTGATATTGTTCAGTCTTGTTGCATCGTCACCAGTTCTAGACCCTGGAATGTTTTGCGTGATGTTTTATGAAAATCAGCACTGTTACAAAATGATCATCATATAATTCAAAAGGGAAAACGGATTCGGTTGAATAAACTGAAAACTGTAACTGGGATTTGCTTCAATCTGTAATTACCTGGTGTGGCATGCATCTCGTGAAGGTGGATATCATAGTTCCCCCTAGCCAGAGTCTCAAACGTAGAGCTCCTAGCTGTGAGTTCCACTACATGGTTTATGTCCGTAAGGAGTAATACTGTATCGTGAAAGGATTAACGGTCACGTGATTGGATCACTATCTGTTATTGACCCCTGTAAATTTAGTTGCAATATTTGACAGTCCTATAATTACTCAATTTTAAATCTTACAATATGATGGAAGCGTAAAATTAATGCTTCCGGAATTAGCAAAATGAAGAAAAACAAGATGTTGTTGGAATACGTAGAATACTCAACAATTGAAAATTTTATATACATGTTTCAACCGCGCTACTCTTCCAGTTTAACATTATGACTGACTCACCTGACAAACTAACGTTTTGTTGCAAGTCCCAGAATTGAAAAATTGGCACCTTTTCAGTCACTTCTCTTCGAAATAACAACAAATAATCATATTTACAAAATTGGTAAACGAATTTCAAGTAAATCAGGCGTAATACGGGGGATCAGGTTTGACAATATTCAACATATCACGGTCTCATGATACATTTATGAAAAGCTCTCTTCAAACAATTGTCACACCTCAAAATAATAATGCAGCGTCAATTGTTGCTACTAGTTCTGTGTGTCCGGAGCTTGAGTTCAAGTTGAAAATTTTTAAAAAAACGGACTTGTGAAATACTATGTAGCATTACTAGACATCAAGTGTAAACAAAAATTGGTCAAGATCTCGCCGTGTCGTAGATTGCTGTTTCAAAGATAACACATATGAAATGATGATAAACATAATAATTCCGGGAGTGGTCACGCGGAGATCGGGAGGGTAAGTTGAAATATGATTGTGTAGATTTTGATATAGCAAGTACTTGCTGCAAATTGTGGGACCTATTGCTCTGGGAGGGTCGGGTTCACACCGAGGGATTTATTGCAATAAAAGTCCTCGTGCTCTAAGAAAGATCACACCGGACTTGCGGATCTTAGGAACAAGGGCCCGGGACAGTTTTGTGTGCCCCGTGAACAGATTATTCGCTACAAAATAAAAATATACTTACATCTGAGATGTCTTGTTCCAGTCCGAGAGGTGTGAAACTAAACAATCGAACTCAACAACAAATGAACGATCTCTCGAGGGTCCCCGGAGCCCGTTACGAGGATATTTCACACCTGGCTCACAGAGAGCCCGTTCCGGGCGAGTTCCCGGGCTGTGGTGATTGTTGTTGCGATTGCCCCTGGTTCACGGAGGGTGTTCCCCAGCTCCCCGGGGCAGTCCCTCAGCTCCCCGGGGCAGCTCCCGGGGGCAGCTCAGCCCGGGGAGGCCCCGGGGGCAGTTCACACCTAGGTGATTGACGGCCAGGTGTATGTATATATACTACTGTCGTTCAGCACAGGAAGCTTATGAAAAAGCTAATCATGTAATGAAACAAGTCAGTAACTATATGGAGTCTAACAAGTTACATATAAATGCAGGGAAAAGTTGTTTTATGCATTTTCAGCCAGGTTTGTCAAGAGCAACACAGACCTGTGCTAGAACACGGCCCTTTAACAGGATTCTAACGATTTCAATAGATGGCAAAAAGCTAGAAAAAGTTCAATGTACAAAGTTTCTTGGGGTGATAATAGACGAACAGCTATGTTGGGAACCACATCTTAATCATTTATCTTTAAAGCTGAACTCCAGTATTGTATCGATTAAGAGAATTTGCAAATTCATTCCCAAATCTGAATCTTTGAAACTATACAATGCTCTTTTTATGTCACATCTTAGCTATTGTATAAGTTGCTGGGGTGGGATCCCTAAACATAAGCTGAATAAAATCTTTGCAATTCAAAAACGATGTATAAGACTGCTATTTGGTAACATTCCCAATTTTGATCATAAAGAATACTACTTAACCTGTGCACGTTCAAGAACTTATAACGAACATATGGCTAGCAAGAACTACTGTCTTGAACACACTAAACCGCTATTCACTGAGCAGAAAATTATGAACCTGGAGAATCTGCACATGTACCATACATTTATGGAGCTATTCAAAATTCTTAAATTTGATGTCCCCCAGTCGATTAAAGATCTTTTCAAGTTCTGTCCTAGAAATGAAAAACTTCGTCTGATTGTCCCATTACTGAGGTTAGATATCTCCCAACAGAACTTTTTGTACACCTCTACGAAAATATGGAATGATCTCATCCCCTATGTATTCGAAATATGTGATGCTAATGTAGATAGGATAATAATCCCGGGTTCTTCCAAAAATTCAGACTTATCAGCCTCGTCAGGTATTATTAAATCTAACCTTAAAAAGCACTTGCTATCCCTCCAAAATCGAGGTGACCCTAATATATGGTAACTAACCTATATTATATCTCAAATTCTACATCCGGTACGGCTCTGCACACATGATATCTCTCTCTGCCATGAAACATGGCTAACCTTTCAAACTATGATTTAAAACGTAAACCTAAACTAAAACTCAACTGGGCTCTCCTATGTCACCAAACTAGACCAATAAGCAATTTTAGCTTAGATAATTAACTTTTTCTATATTTGTATAATAAGTATATTGACGTAGTGGATGGTTGAGGGGGTTTCAAGCACAGGTCACTCTCAAATCCTAAAGATAAGCAGTGGCCTTCGGCACTTGAAACCTCTTCAAACCTCCCCTGATTTATTTATTATTGATATTGTTTGATTGTGCCGTAAAAATAAATATTTGTTTTATTAAATATTTGTTTTATTAAAAAAACATATTATAATATGTAAAAACTTGACTGCATGTCCTCAAGCAAATATGCTACTGAAAGAACGTCATAAATCTGCAATTTATTGACGTCCAACAAAAGTTCATTAAAAATTCCACCTCTAAGTTATCATATGGGTGATGATTAATTACTCTGCCTGCACTTGCTGTCACATAACTAAGTTTAACCCGTTCTATAAACTTGCAGCTTATATGACGGATAATCCCAACATTACATATGTGCAGTGCCAAATAATAATTATAATCATTGTACATTAGGAATCAGAAGGTTTGTATACACCATTTCTCCAGAGATAAGAGGGATTATCGGGGTTATTTTGAAGTGAGTTAAACTTTGAATTTTATCTGGATCTCATTTTTATACCTGAGATTTTTTATTTTTTCTTCAGTCAAGTAACATTCCATTCAAGCTGATGAAAATCATAACTAATTCACATTTTACATTTGGAGAGAAAATCAGATTCAATGAGATTGGAACTAATTCTTCAATTCTTGGTATGAAATATGAATCATTTTGAAACTGAAATAATATCCCGCGATTTCTGAAGCAAAAGCTGAAATTCTTCGAATAAATTCGAGAGAAATAAAACAATTTTTTAATGGTGCCACAAAAAAGGTACCTGCTATTCAAAGTTAATCTGTATCTAGGTATGATAAATAAAATTTACCATCAATCGAGTGAACAGCTTATACAGAAAAATTAAGCGGAACGTATAATATCTAATTGAATAACGACTTCTGATGAGGGTCAATGAAAAAAGAGAAAAAAAATCTCACCTTTTTAGTGCATGATAATTATAATATTGGTAACACATTTAACAAGGTTCGAGAACACCTCATAATCATAAAATCTGGTCCACACAAAC